AAAATTGAATTGAAGTTCGACGATGCCTCTTAATTTTTTAATATTTATATATGCCAGCGTCTTTTCAAAATGGATGAGTTAGGAATTTCATGTTCATAGATCTTGAACCAAATCAATAATATACATTTCTTAATAGATTTATCTATTTATTGATGAAACAAAAGTCTGTGATGATCTACGGTGATATTTAATTATGGCTCTCCCATTTGTAATTGCTCTTACTGTATGTGAGTTTGTGTGGTATGCTTTGGTGATTATGATTCCAGCAAGACTATGATGTCACAAATTTATTTCTTGAATTATCTATATTCTCAATTTCCATTTATGAAAAATCTAATATTATACTACTTCATTTTCGCCTTATTTTGTAAATTATCTGTTCCCAGAGATGTTTTGTTGTAATAAGATCACTTGTCGTGGGAGGGTCGGAGGTCTTGAGAGATTCTGAAGTAGGTTATGCGTTATAAAGCCATGTTGGCGTTACATGTAATGGGATGAATATATTGGGCAAAATATTTTATTTTATAAATTTATAATTAAAAATGAGTATGAAAATTTAAAAACTTTATTTTAAAGGGAGATAATCAAGTGCTAAATTAACATTGTTTTGAATCCTCTTTTTTCTTACTTCTTATTATGCTCCTATTTGGTGGTCATTATCGAGGAAAAATGATGTTTTGAATAGTATTTTTTGAAAAATATATAGTTAAAATGTAAGAAAAGATTTTGGATTTAGGTATAAAATATTTTATTGTGTGAATGTATGATTGAAAATTAGTATGATAATTAAAGAATTTTGTTTTAAAATGAAACAAATAAGGGGGTAAACTGTAAAACGGTGTTCCTATAGTTGTTACAAGGTTAAGTGTCATTTATGGATTAGTATGGGAGTCATTTACTACAAATGACTTTGAAACTTTTAGGGACGACCTCATTTAGCTCTTGTTTATTTTTGTTAAAGCTTAAATTTTTAATTAATTTTAATTTTGGTAAAATTTGATGAAATTTGTTATTAAAAAATTGATAATAATGAATCAAACTTGATTCGAACTGAATTGAATCGAGCAGTATTTTTTATGTTAAATATTCGAACAAATATTTGAATTGAGAACCGACAAATTTGATTCAATTCTCAATTTTAAATCAAGAACCGAAGAATCGAATAAAATTCGAATCTCCCTAATTTTTTAATTAATTTAAATAAATCAAATTATTTTATTTTTCTCAATTGTGACCTAAAAAAAATTGATAAAATATAAAGACCATACTGGAGCTTAATTTATAACGTACTCCTAATTTAGCTCTTGTTTGATGGTCATTATTTTGTCAAAACAATATTTTGAATAGTAATTTTAAGGAGAATGTATGATTAAAAATACAGAAAAAAGTTTTAAATTTTCTTGCATAATATTTTATAATGTGAATGTATATATAAAAAAATTAATTTTTAAATGGAGTTTTGTTATTTGTACCCGGAGTTTGACACTCCAAGTTACCTGATATGAGTGAGGGGGTCGGGCCCTACACATTTATTGACGTGGATCCCCCGACCCTCATGTAAGTAGCAGGTAATTCGGAGTGTCAAACTCCGAGTACTTGTAGTAAAACTTTTTTTTAATAATAGTTATTAAACAGGGAATTATTATAACCCATACAAATGACATGACAAAGAGGCAATACAGAGTTAAAAGAAGTAGCTTGTCCCAGATGATACGTAATACTGTATAGCATCATAAATTAAAATTTTAGTTTGTTTTCCCAAAAAAATTAATTATAATACGATACTTTGGAACCGAATGAAACCGAACAGAATGATTCCATAATTAAATTTGGACTCGACGATTCCACTTAAATACTCAAAAATCTCAGGTCCGATTCAATTCTCATTAGAACCAAATCGAACCGGACCATATTTAGCCTTAACTCCAAGGGTGAACTTTAAGCCGATGTCAAACTGCCAATTTTCATCAATGGTCTTTCTAGAATGTGTGGTTAAAAAGTAGGAAAAAATTTAATTTTACAGGCAAAATATTTTATTTTATAAATTTATAATTAAAAATGAGTATGAAAATTTTAAAACTTTATTTTAAAGGGAGATAATCAAGTGCTAAATTAACATTGTTTTGAATCCTCTTTTTTCTTACTTCTTATTATGCTCTTATTTGGTGGTCATTATCGAGGAAAAATGATGTTTTGAATAGTATTTTTTGAAAAATATATAGTTAAAATGTAAGGAAAGATTTTGGATTTAGGTACAAAATATTTTATTGTGTGAATGTATGATTGAAAATTAGTATGATAATTAAAGAATTTTATTTTAAAATGAAACAAATAAGGGGGTAAACTGTAAAACGGTGTTCCTATAGTTGTTACAAGGTTAAGTGTCATTTATGGATAAGTATGGGAGTCATTTACTACAAATGACTTTGAAACTTTTAGGGACGACCTCATTTAGCTCTTGTTTATTTTTGTTAAAGCTTAAATTTTTAATTAATTTTAATTTTGGTAAAATTTGATGAAATTTGTTATTAAAAAATTGATAATAATTGTGAGAAAAAATTTACGTGACCAAAAAAAAGTTGATAAAATATAAAGACCATACTGGAGCTTAATTTACAACGTACTACTAATTTAGTTCTTGTTTGATGGTCATTATTTTGTCAAAACAATATTTTGAATAGTAATTTTAAGGAGAATGTATGATTAAAAATACAGAAAAAGTTTTAAATTTTCTTGCATAATATTTTATAGTGTGAATGTGTATATAAAAAAATTAATTTTTAAATAGAGTTTTGTTATTTGTACCCGGAGTTTGATACTCCAAGTTACCTGATGTGAGTGAGGGGGTCGGGTCCTACACATTTATTGACATGGATCCCCCGACCCCCATGTAAGTAGCAGGTAATTCGGAGTGTCAAACTCCGAGTACTTGTAGTAAAACTTTTTTTTAATAATAGTTATTAAACAGGGAATTATTATAACCCATACAAATGACATGACAAAGAGGCAATACAGAGTTAAAAGAAGTAGCTTGTCCCAGATGATACGTAATACTGTATAGCATCATAAATTAAAATTTTAGTTTGTTTTCCTTGTATAATGATAAGTAATGTTCATTCATATAGATGCAAAGGGCAGAAGTGAGGTTATCTCAAATCTTTCTGGCAGTCATAGTGTGAGGGTTCGATTCCTGAGATATGAAATTTGACTCTTTGTAGGCATAGTGTATATGAAACTCTTGTTCCCTGATTTGTTGGGGCACATCTCGCGATTTACCTCCTTCACAAAACTCTAAAGATGGAGCTGTAGGGACCCTCAGGATTAGAGTTCAACCTTTAATAATGTTGCTTGGACCGGGGCGAGGGGGGCGGGGGAATGTGCAATTACAGGATGATTTGGCAGCTCCTGATCAAGCATTTTTATCTTTTTTTTTTTTTTTTTTAAGAAGAGTTCTGTGATTGACTTGGAGTGTAGCAGAAACTACACTGTAGATATCTTTGGTCAGTAGGCTGAAAATTCTTTGACAGCCATGAATTAAATAACTCCTACACCATGCTGTGTAGAATAGTACACTGTATGTCCAGTCCTTGAGCAGACACACTCATAAATGGGCCTATCAGTGAGTAGGTCATACAGGATTCAGGTCTGTTTGCAAATTTATAGGTTGGTTGATTAATAGTTTTTGGTTGAATACTTTACTTTTTTAGTTATTTATTTTGAAATGTATAATGGTAAATAAATAAATTTATTTTCAGATATAATAGAAAATTATTCACGCCTACTGGTGCTCACTAAACTCAAATTAAGGCATATAAATTTTTACCTTTTTACACATATCTTTGATAAATAGAGTATTTTTCATCTACATGTGTCCTTTTAAATTTTAGGCAAATTTCAAGGCAAATACAACTTGGTTAAAAGTTCTAAGTGCATTTTTGGGCTTAAATTAAAATTTAAGTGATAATATACTTTGAATTTTACGAAATGTGTGGATAACAAGTGTGTAGTAATTGTGAATCCTACTAAATATGAAGATGAAAAGAATGTTTGATCATAAGTAATTAAATAATGAGTAATGTTATTTAATCTCATTAGGGTTACAATCTCAATTTAAGTAATGTCAATGTGATATTAAATGATAGGTGAAATTAAATAAGTACACTTATTATTTAACGTCACCTAAATTGAGGTTGTAATTTCAATGGGCTATATAGCATTATTCTTAAATAATAATCACTTCCCAAACATGCGATAAATTTATTCTGAATATCTATTTAGTTATTCCGTCTCTACTAACTACATTAACAAAGAATCCCATCACCTCATTCATGCATCCTTGTCACATACATACCTATGTATTGAGGCATCACGAATACAGTATAACTAAGAAACTAAATCGATACGGCGAAATTAACTAGAGCAATGGACACTCCTAAAATGTATTGTTACAAAATTGGGAAATAAAGATTTTGTAAATTCATAATTATAGATCTGATATTGGAATAGATTCAATGACAGATTTTTATACACGGGTACACTTGACAAATTTTCATTAACAGTTAAAAATATTAAAACAAAAAATTGCAAATCAAAAACTACCAAATCAATTTTTAAAAAAGTGGCCTATCATTGAGCCTGCTAAAACGGCATTATTATAATAACTAATACCTCATGGTTGTCAAAGATGACAAACCTTAAAATCTAGGATTTAAAGAAAACAAGAAACCTTAATCAGCGCGGGGGGGGGGGGGGGGGGGTGGATTTTCCATTGCCAAAAATAATAAGTGTATAAAAATAGTATCAAAATAAAGCTAAGGCCACGAGGGCCTTGCCTAGAACTGGATCAGTCCTACAGCAAAATTGCTGTCTTTCTACTGCATCATAGTTGACCACAGTTTTTATTCAATATCTCATGATTTGGACACTGCCATTTATTAGGGTTCAACCAAATATCACTATAAATCTATTCATATACTTCTCATACAGACTGCAACTCACATACTTCACTGATATATACATATATAAAGAGAGAGAATCTCCTTCTAAGTATTTTAAACATGTCTGCTTCAAAGTCTTTCACCATCTTGGTTGTCTGCCTAGCGATGATCATGATCAGTATAGTTGCACCACCAGTCGAGGGTGCCCGTGCTTTCTTTGTGTTTGGGGATTCACTTGTCGATAATGGTAATAACAACTACTTGGTAACCTATGCGCGGGCCGATTCTCCTCCTTACGGCATTGACTATCCGTCCCATCGTCCCACTGGCCGTTTTTCTAACGGCTATAACATTCCTGATCTCATCAGTAAGTTTGAAAATCGTATATTTTGTTCAACTCTTGCTACCAACCATCTATTCAAATATTATGCTTATTCGTGGAGCACATCCTGCGATTTATAAGTTTTAGAAACGGGACGGTGGGATCCTCAAGATTGGGGTTCAACCTTTTTTTTTTTTTTTTCAAATATTATGCTTATACGTTGCTGCTTAATTATGTTATTGTATTTTGACGTGACAATGTTTATTAATAGGCCAATATCTAGGTGCTGAGTCGACATTGCCCTACTTGAGCCCCGAGTTAAGAGGGCAAAGACTTCTGGTTGGGGCAAATTTCGCCTCTGCAGGAATCGGAATTTTAAATGACACCGGGATTCAGTTCGTAAGTACTGTCAACTTTCTTGTACAGAATTTCGTCTACAGTCCATATTTTGCTTAGAAAATTGAAAAGAAAGCAAAAAAGAAGGCGCATATTTGTATCTATTTATGAAAAATCGTCTCATTTAAAAACTTAAACGATTAAAGAAAAAATATCGTCTCTAAAAAATTATATTGTAAAGGAAAGCAGAATTTGATTTATAGTTATACATATTAAACGATATTTTCCTTCAAATCAACCCTTCTCTGTCTCTCCCTCCAAAACTTCTATGAAATTAAAATTTGAAGAGCATGTACAAAATGGTGCAATATTTCCTCTAATGAAAAGGACAGTTTTCTAACCATATATTTACAAATGTCTTGATATGCAAGAAAATGACATTAAGGGCATCTCCAACCTTTACACCATTTTGCACCAAATATTTGGTGAAATCCCTCTCCGACTCAACACCAAATTTTACATCATTTCATTGATTTTGCAACAAAATAGTGTAAGTGAATAGTATTACACTAAGTAAAATGGTACAAGGGAATAATGTTGCAATTTACTTGCATCATTTTACACCAAATTGGTAAAAGTCCTTTTTGCCATTTTTCGTTTATCACCAAATGATATCAAGGGTATTTGTGTCATTTTGCATTATACATAATTATTAATTATTAATTAAGTAATTAATTAATTTATTATTATTATTATTATTATTATTATTATTATTATTATTATTATTATTTATTTTATTTTTTTTGTAGTAAATCCTGTAATTAATAATAATCGAGGAATGTAGGATGAATATATGAATTTCGATAATTAAATTACGAAACTAGGTCGAATTTGTCGTATCATAATTTCGGGATTCAAAATAAACTACGTTGTTTTTAATAACATGATTTAATACTTTCTTAGTTGTGGTATTTTTATTAATTGTACTATATTTTTAATTTATTGACGAATTTAATATTTTCGTAAACGAAACATAATTATGTATGTAGTAATTTATGTAGTAGTAAATTAAATAAATAAATAATTTTTCAGCTATATAAATTGTTAAGTATAAAAAAATTGAAGAAAATGATTAAACACCATTCATTTGGAGCAACTTTTGGTGTAATGAGTTGGAGATGATTTTTAGTTTGATGTAAGATTTGGTGCAAAATGATGCAAATTTTGATACGGAATTGAAGATGGTATAATTTCTTTCTGCATTTGGTCTCGTGTTATACATGGACCACCTCGTCTATAAGGTCAAAATTCTTAAAATAATGGCATTTATTTATTATAATTTAGTCTTCAAAACAACCCATCATATCATTTATTTTGGTATTTTCATTCTCCAAATTAATTTTGGCCTGCAGGCAAACATAATAAGAATCTTCAAGCAACTAGAGTTTTTCCAAGTTTACCAGACGCGAGTTACTGCTCTCATTGGGGCAGAAGAGACACAGAGGCTTGTGAATGGGGCCCTCGTTCTTATCACACTTGGTGGCAATGATTTTGTCAACAATTACTTTTATACCCCCGTTACTGCTCGAAGGCTTCAATATAGTCTCCAGGATTTCTCACGTTATCTCATTTCTGAATATAAGAAGATTTTAACAGTAATTACTTTTCTTTCTTTGTTGTTTTTATAATCTATTTCCTTAGCACTACAAGATGATTTTAGAAGTAAATCTTATGATATATTCGGTAGGAATATTTACATAATATCGGACAGTATTAAAGAAAAAGATAAAATCTTGTTAATTATAAATTTGTAGTGTATGTCTACTAATTGATACCAAACATGCTTAGCTCACCTTAAATTTATTGAGATAAGATAAAGACTCCATCCCTATTTGGTTCTTATTTTTTAAAATTTATTAATTTTTTTAAAAATAATTTTTAATCTTAGAAATGATGGGACCAATAAATTTTATCAACTTTTATAAAAAAATTGTTAAAAATCTGATTTTTAGTCAAAGCAACACAGGAGTTTCATTTACTTTTGTAATTGGAGTATGTTATTAACATGTTAGGACAATTAAAAAAGCAATCACTTAATGATTTGAAATGAGGGATCAGTATTCAATGCTAATGGGTCAAATTTCACAGGAAGAAATTTAATGAAGTTATTGACTTATTATTGCAATAAAAATACTGCAAAAGTTGACTTATTTGGATGCACCGCAGAGACTTTATGAATTGGGAGCCCGAAGGGTCCTTGTCACAGGAACTGGACCATTAGGTTGTGTTCCAGCAGAACTGGCGCGAAGGAGCCTTAATGGCGAATGTGCGGTGGAGCCACAACGTGCGTCCGAAATATTCAACCCCCTTCTCGTCCAAATGGTTCGAGATCTCAATCAGGAGATTGGCTCAGACGTGTTCGTTGCTGTTAACACAATGCAAATGCAAAACAACTTCATCAACAATCCTCAAACCTACGGTCAGTACATCTCACTCCATCCTTTGCATGTCTCGAATCTTTAAAAAGGGTCATTTCGCAAACATTTTAAACAATCTAGTTCGTTTTCTAATATAATGTATTTTTTCATGCTCCTAGTTGACTCTAAAATTATGGAGAACATTTGAACAGGTTTTATCACGTCGAAGATAGCATGTTGTGGACAAGGACCCTATAACGGACTAGGAATTTGCACACCTGCATCCAGTTTGTGCCCCAACAGGGATTTATATGCATTTTGGGATGCATTCCATCCATCAGAAAAAGCGAACAAGATTATTGTCAAAACAATACTCAGTGGTTCTCAGAACTACATGTTTCCTATGAACCTAAGCACAATCATGGCCATGGATTCCAGGACCTAATTTAGTAATGATATGAGATCTTGAAAATAAATCTATATTAAATTTAAGTATGTAACCAGTTCTTAAGTTTGCTTCAAGTTGTTTGTAATCCATGCTCCATTCACTGCACCTCAATGCAGCTGATCAATATGTGCGGTGAAAGGGGTGGGCGGTTGGGTCTAAGTGTGAAAGATTTGTCAACTAGTTTAATACAATGCCCTGTCATATAAGAGTGCAAGCAATTACTGTGTAGGGACGGTTCTCTTTTTTATAGTTTTATATTATTATGTAATTCTAGACGTTGATTGTTTTCATTCAAGAAATATAAGTATTAAAATAAAATAATAATATATGATTTTTTTTTGTCTTCTTTACCTTTTATATGAAGTAATTAAATCATGGCTTGAGAGTAGATATAGGAATTAATGCATTAATGAAATTTGAGGTAATGGATAGTCAAAATTAGAATAACTAGTCATACTATGTGTAGCCCCTCAAGCAATAATAGAAAAAGTTGGTTGTGGGCAACATATATAAGGTTGTAGAAAAAAAATATGTTTGATCTAAGAAAATAAAACAAATACAAACTTCAAGAATGTTGGTTGGGACATATAGATATCTTCGGAGAGATAACCTTGTAAGAATGCATTATTAACATCAAGTTGGCGAAGAAACCATCCCCTACTAATAGCATAACTAAGAGCAAGTCTTATAGTTGTTGGCTTGAATATAGGGCTAAATGTATCATGATAATCTACTCATGATTGTTGATGAAAACCTTTTGCAATCAAACGTGCTTTGTATCTATCAATAGAATCATCATATTTTCTTTTAATGCGAAAATCCACTTACAACCAACTATATTGTGACTAGAAATAGATGGCACTAGCTCCCATGTTCCATAGACATTGCTCTAAGCCATTTTGGATCCTTGAGTGCTTGAGTGGCTGAAGAGGGTTCAATGGCTGTGGTGGAAGATATTTGGGTGGAAAGGTATAATTTTTGTATAGGTTTGTGGATGTTATTTTTAGCTCTTGTTGTCATCGAGTGGGCACGATGTCGAGAGGTGGATGGATTTAAGGTGTTAATTGATGTGGGTTGTATGTTTGGGTTAGACATAATGGTAGTTGGAGGAGATGGTGGAGATAATGCCTTTATTGGTAGGGTTGATAGTGTTATAGATGTTACATAAAAACTCAAGAAATACACAAAGTATTTTCAGATCTCAGATAGAGGAAAAATCGACCAAGAACTGGACCAAACCAACTGTATATAGTTCAATTAATTGTTAGGGCTCAGAAATTAACATTGTACCCTTCTGTACAATGGTAGAGACACCAAGAACCAACCCAAACCCACAAAAAGACCTCGAACGCAGCTACTTCAACGAGCCAAAATGAAAAACCCCTTCACTAACTCCTCTAACTCCTTTCAAAAGAATCACTAAGATTTACTGTTCACACAAAAAGAATCAATTTCCAAATCACAGAGAACTTGGAAGAAAAAACACGAAGCAGACGAAGGCGAAGAGAGGCAGAGAAAATGACTCATTCTAGAGAGTTCAAGAGTCACCAGAAAATATCACACACACGGTCAACTAGGGCATCCACAAAATGTCCCTTATATTGAAGACCAAATCACCGTAGATCAGCTGGGTGATCCAATGGCTCGGAGTAGCACACGTGGCCTCATGTTTGGGCTCGGGTAGTTAGGCCTCCACATTTGAATTATCGGGCAATGAAAATATAATACCAGCTATTGGGCCAAGCCCTTTTCATCATAGCCCATTGATTGATTTTGGCATCACAATCCAAACAATCTCCACCTTAATGCCAATTACCATCAGACACACTACAGAGATATGAAACAAATTCGTTTTCTTCTTTAAGTTCCACAGATCATTGCACCAAGAGGTTTAGAGTACCTGCATTACAACAAAGGTTACCCTGTATCAATTTTCAGCATTTTCAAACAAGACCTAAACTTGTTAAGAGGCAGTACCTTAGTTTCCATATCAGCAGGATTAAATTCAGTTGGGATCTTTTCAAGTACAACAGATTCTTTATGAATTATGTCTCTTATAAAATGCATTCTAACATCTATATGCTTGGTCATTTCATGAAATATAGGATTTTTACATAGATGAATTGCACTTTGACTATCTGAGTAGACTACATCAGGTTGTGACAGAACATTAATTTCACATAACAAACCTTTGAGCCATAGTGCTTCTTTTATGGCTTCAGTAACAGCTACATATTCTGCTTCAGTGGTTGAAAGTGAAACAATAGGCTGTAATTGTGATTTCCAACTCACACAAGTGCCACACAAAGTAAACATATAAGATGTGGTTGATTTTCTATTGTCCCTGTCCCCAGCATAATCTGAATCTACAAATCCCTTTAATATAACATCTTCTTTACTAGGATTAAAACATAAACCTAAGTTAGATGTTCCTTTTAGATACCTAAGTAACCATTTTAAGGTTGTCCAATGTTCAGGGTCAGGATTGGCCATAAATCTACTTAGGGTACTAATTGCGTGAGCTACTTCAGGTCTGGTACACACCATAGTGTACATTATAGACCCCACAGCATTAGCATAGGGGACCTTTTGCATGGATTTCACATCAAATTCATCAACTGGACACTGATCTATACTCAATTTAAAATGATTTGCAAGTGATAAAGTGACAGTTTTTGATTCATGCATTGAAAATTTAGATAAGACTTTTCAACATAGACAGATTGTGATAGAAAAAGAACCTATTTGGATCTATTTCTCTTAATATCCATACCTAAAGTTCTTCTAGCATGTCCCAAGTCTTTCATTTCAAATTCAGAGCATAAAGATCTCCGAATATCTTAATATCACTAAGATGTTGTCCAATTAACAACATATCATCCACATAAAGAAGTAGGTAAACAATCACAGATTCAGCTTTATCCTTTTTCAAATATAGACAATGATCAAAAGAGCTTCTAAGAAAACCTACAGATGACACAAAGTTATCAAAGCGTTTATACCATTGTCTAGGTGATTGTTTAAGTCCATACAATGATCTCTTTGACAAGCACACACGCTCAGGTTTCTTATTATCTACATATCCAGGTGGTTGTCTCATATAGATAATTTCATCCAAGTCTCCATGCAAAAAGGCAGTTTTTACATCCATTTGTTCAAGTTCAAGATCATAATGAGCAACTAATACAAGCATAACACATATGGTAGTATATTTAACTACAGGTGAGAAAATTTCATTATAATCAATACCGAGTTTTTGAGTAAACCCTTTTGCCACTAATCTTGCCTTAAATCTTAGGGGCTGATTTGCTGTATTTCCTTCCTTAATTGTATAAATCCACTTACAATCAATTAAGGATTTATCTTTAGGTTTATGAACCAAAATCCAGGTTTCATTTTTTCTTAAAGAGTTCATTTCCTCTTCCATAGCCAATTGCCAGTCTTTTGAAGACTGACAACTCACAGCCTCCTCATATGTTATTGGTTCCTTAAAGACCAGATCTTGATAAGTCAGTAAAGCTAGAGATAGGTAGTCTCTCATTCTAATGGGTTCCCTTATTTCTTTTCTAACCCTATCCCTGGCTAACTAATAACCTTCTAATGAATTTTCTTCTTCACCAACTTCTTGAACATCACCTTCACCTTCTATATTTTCATCAAAAACTTTCCCAATCTCTTCCTGAACATTATCAGTATGTTCAGGAGGTGACAAAGGCTCCACCTGCAGCCTAGTCATCACTTCTTCCTCACTACTAGGAGCACTAATCTGATGTTTATTAGTCATGCATGGCATATCACACTTATTGAAGGTCACATTCCTACTTGTGATCATTCTAAATCCCTTCACACTCCTCTCCCACAATCTATACCCTTTAACTCCTTCAAGGTATCCCATAAAAACATATTTTTGGGATCTAGGTTCAAGTTTACCACTACTTTGATAGGAAAAGGCTGCACAACCAAAGGTCTTCAGGTGACTATAATCTGGTATTTTTCCGGACCATACCTCCTCGGGTGTTCTGCCATCTAAGGCACTACTTGGGGTTCTATTTATGATATGCACTGCGGTCATAGCAACTTCACCCCACAGTACTTTAGGAACTCCAGAACTGATCATCATGTATCTTACTTTGTCTAGAATAGTCCTATTCATCCTCTCAGCAACTCCATTTCGCTGAGGGGTATAAGGAACTGCTTTATGCCTAAGGATCCCACTATCCTTACATAATTGATCAAAAATAACATTACAAAATTCTAGACCGTTATCAGTTCTTAATACCTTAATTTTCTTCCCAGTTTGATTTTCGATCAAGGTTTTTCAAACTTTAAATTTTTCAAAAGTATCTGATTTTTGTTTTAGCAGAAAAATCCAAACTTTTCTTGAAAAATCATCAATCAAGGACAGAAAATATTTGTTTCCTCCTTGAGTAATAGTAGATGAGGGTCCCCAAAAATCAGCATGTACATACTCCAGAACAGAAGTAGTCTCATGCTTTCCCGTATTAAAGTGAAGTCTATGTTGTTTACCAAGTATACAGTAATCACAAAAAAAAATTTTTGAAACATTATCTTTTCCAAAAACATCCATTTTATTCAAAATATGCAGACTTCTTTCACTAACATGTGCCAGCCTGTTGTGCCATTTTAAGGTGGCATCAACTCCAGCAGCTAAGGACCCGACAGTATGACTTGAAACTATTTCAGCTCTAGTGACATATATACCATTTCTTTTGGCACCCTTGAATATTACAAGAGAGCCTTTAAAAACTTTTAACAAACCATTTCCAAGTTTGGTTTGGAGACAATGTCATCTAGATTACCCATAGAAATTAAGTTTCTATTTAAATCAAGAACATACCTTACTCTCTCTAGGGTAAAGATATATCCATTTTCAAATTTTAAAGTCACGTTGCCAATTCCTAAGACTTTACAAGCTACATTATTACCCATTACTACCTCACCTCCATTCATTTCTTTAAAATTTTCTAAACAGGATCTTTTAGAAGTCATATGGAAAGTGCAACCAGAGTCAAGAATCCATTTTTTATTCTGGTCTATATTTTCTGAAAAATTTACAGTATGCTCATCAGTAACAGGTTCAATAACAACATAGACATCCACAGTTTTATCATCTAGAGATTCAACAACATTACCCTCACCTATTTTCTTATCCCTCTGTTCATTCTTTTTCTTAAAGCAATCCTTAATAAAGTAACCTGATTTCCCACATATATAAAATTTCCTATTCCCAGTCCCAGTCCTAGACTTTGACCTA